CATCTTCTTTATCCATTCATCTGTTGATGGGCACACGCCATATACTTGGGATGTTTCCCCCAATGAGATATAAGAGAAATCTGCTAGCACCACCTTTTCCCCTTTGACCTTCTTCCAGTCTTGATCACACATGCAATGTCCAGAACTACTGTAGCCATAATGTGACCACAATTCAAGAGGCATAAGAAAAGGTAAGGAGAATCACAGACATGCTGACCTGATAATGGTCAAACCTCTGAACTAATGTCAACAGCCTCAATTTCCAAATTTCTTATTATAAGAGAAAAATAAGTATTTATTTAAGAGTAATATAAATATAACTCTGTGTTGGATTTTCTGTTACTTGAAACCAAACATCTTTTTTAACTGATAAAATACTATAAAAAATACTATAAAAAGTTAACTAATTAACTTTTTAGCTCTGGAACTTTAAATTCACTTAATTCCAGGGGACATCACTGTTCAGTCTGCAATTACACTGGAGATGACTTTTATATCACAGTCTGATCTTTACAGGTCTCTTGTTTGTAGCAGGTGGGTATGCCCATGTCACTTGAAAATAAAACTAAACCCATGGCCTTTAGTTCATATGTTTCCAGCAGCTGAATGTGGTTTGCTTGTAAGAATGAAAATTCCCTTGAAATGTTAATTGTTACAGTAATAAGTTTAGTGAGTATAAGATAGTATAATCAAATTTCATTTCTTTATTAGAGTGAATTTTAAACTTTACTTAGAAGTGAAACTTAACTTGTGTGTGTGTGTGTGAGACCCTGATAAGTAACTTGTAACGCCCTGCATGTTAACTCCTGACAAATAACTTGTAACTCCTGATCAACAACTTCCTGCATGGTAACTCTTTTTTTTTTTTTAATATATTTTTTATTGATTTTTTACAGAGAGGAAGGAAGAGAGATAGAGAGTTAGAAACATCGATCAGCTGCCTCCTGCACATCTCCTACTGGGGATGTCCCTGCAACCCAGGTACATGCCCTTGACTGGAATCGAACCTGGGACCTTTCAGTCCGCAGGCCGATGCTCCATCCACTGAGCCAAACCCGTTTCGGAAACTCTTGATAAGTAACTTGTAACCCCCTGCGTGTGCATCCTGATAAGCCCAGAAGGCCACTGGAGCACACTGCTGTGAGACACTGAAGAAGCCTGTTATAGTAATAAGTTTAGTTAGCATAAGTAGACTCCAGTTTGTATTAGCATAAGTTAGCATAAGTAGACCCCATTTTATTCTTAGACCAAAACTTGTAAACAACTCCAAAAATAAGATGTGTGTGTGATTGATAAGCTTTGGACATGTACACAACTTTCCCGCCTGACTGTATGCCTAGATAGCAGGGCGGCACCCGTGTATGGCACCCGATAGGAGACACTGAAGACGCCCAGCTTCAAGGATTTAAGGAGAGCGAATCTGCTGCGGTTCAGACACTTGTCTGCCCTCCACAGACAGGACACTCTCCTCCCCCCTGGAAACTGCCAAACTGCCATTCCTGCTCTGCCTGAGCCCAGACTGCTAGAGGCCTCTCTTCGAATCAAGAAACCAAGCTCCTTGCCGTGGTGTATTTTGACGACCTCCGTGTGTCTCCTCTGTCAGCCAGTGTCTCCAGGTGGCCTGCCAAGGACTGAAACCCATCAGCTCTGTGGTAAATAAACCTATGTGATTTCTTGCATTGTTTATCTCCTGTGTCTCCTCTCTTCTTAGTTCTTGGTTAAGCTCGGCCATATTAATTAATAGTAAGTACCCTTTAACGTCTGTATTGGTATATCCAAATGAGGCGCTCTGGGTCACCTGTGCATACGTTCCATAGATAATTGGAACATTAATTGATTCAGTTTGACAGTGCTTGCCATATCATAAATCAATATCATGGCTTTTCTGAACTGGTAATAAAGATGGTAGAATAAAGAAGAATCTGGTAGTTATGGGATAGGTAGGGTTGGGTGTTTTTTTTTTTATTATTGTTTTGTTTTTAATGGAACTTAGCAAGATTGAGATCCCTTTCTTTTGGGGATGTCCGTGCTTTGTAGGAAATGACAGAATTACATCAGTATTATAGGCTAATCTTAATCCTAATCAAGTAATATTCAGCTCTCTTTATTATTCATTTATATGTTATATATATTGAGGGAGGAATCTGATTTAATCTACATGTTTTAGTTACCTATTGCTGTAAGAAATTACCTCAAAACATAATGGCTTAATAATTTTTTAATTTACTCTCTCTCATGGATTCTGCAGGTCTAGAATTCAGTCAGGGGCATCTCCTCTCTGCTCTACGATGTCTGGAGCCTCAGCTGGAGATGAAGGCTGTGGCTTGAAATCAACTAAATGCTCCTTTATTCACATGTCTGGAGGTTGGTGCTGGCGGTGGTGGAGGCCTAGCTGCAGCTGTCTGTCAGTGGCAATGCCCACACATAGCCTCTCCGTGTGACCTGGGCTTCCCCACAGTGTGGTGGGTAGGCTCCAAAAGCAAACATGAAGAGAAAGAGAGCCAAGGGGGAGCTACATTGCCTTTTAGAATGTAGCCTCAGTGACACAGTGTCCTATCTGCCACCTTTCATTGGGTGAGGCACTTATAAAGGTCTACTCAGGTTCAAGGAAAAGAAACATAGATCTCCCTCCCTTGTCCATGCTCCTCCCTTGAGATGTGAGGCATGTCAAAGCCACATTATAAGAAGAGCAAGTGGGGTGGGCAAGCATCTATATATAGGCAAGCATCTTTGGAAAACATAATCCACCATATTGTACTATTACCTCATCTCTCTAATGAACAGCCATGCCATATGTACGAATGTTTTGATATTGACAATCACAATTCAGGGGAGGTTGCTACTGGCATCTAGTAGTTAGAGGCTAGGGATGCTGCTAAACATTCTACAATGCACAGAGCAGCCCCCACCCCTCCAGCCCCACCGCCACCCTGCCACACATACACACACACACACACACACACACACACACACACATGCATAGAAAGAATTTGCCTTAATAGAAGTTGAGAAAATCTGTCTTCGAGTATTCATACTCTACAAGAATCCTATATAATAAAAGCCTAATATGTAAATTGTCCCCTCGGGTGGTCATTTGACCGAGAGTTTGACCGCTTGGTACAATGTGCGCTGACCACCAGGGGGCGACACAGAACATGGTGGACGTCAGCAACACAGCGCTGGCAGAGGGTGACAGTCAAGGCTCCAATGGGCCCCAGTGACTGTGGGACTGCGGCCGGATGGTAGAGCAGGTGAGTGGGCAGTGCCAAGCCAAGGCAGTTGCTAGTGGGGGTCTGATCACCCCGATGATCACCCTGCAGATGGCAACCAGTGGCAGTGGAAGGGGGCAGGGCCACCCCCTGGCTCCCAGGTGCTGAGGGAGCTGGGCAGGGGGGTAAAGGGGGGTACTGACCCAGATCAATCGCCCCGCAGGTGGGATGGTGGAACAGGTGAGGGGGCGGCGCCAGGCCATGGCAGGGTGCCAGGTGGGGCTGCGAGCCTGAGGGTGCGAATTGGGGCCCAATCTCTGCAGGCCACCCTGAGGGATCCCACCTGTGCACAAATTTGTGCCCCGGGCCTCTAGTTTAGAATAATTAGACAGAGGATAGAGCAGCGGTTCTCAACCTGTGGGTCGCGACCCCTTCGGGGGTCGAATGACCCTTTCACAGGGGTCGCCTAAGACCATCGGAAAATGCATATATAATTACATATTGTTTTTGTGATTAATCACTATACTTTAATTATGTTCAATTTGTAACAATGAAATTGGGGGTCACCACAACATGAGGAACTGTATTAAAGGGTCGCGGCATTAGGAAGGTTGAAAACCACTGGGATAGAGGGATCTATAGAAAACATCAAAATTCTGAAAGTCTTCCTACTGAATCATTCTATTTAATATTTAGTATTATGTACTATTTGTGGTCTACAAATAGCAAAGGTGATTACTTAGGCAAATTTTGATTCCAAATATGATACATTGAACATCAACCTTCACTGAACACAAATAAATGGAAATGTATCCCCTGTTCATGGATCAGAAGAATTAATATTATTAAAATCTCCATACTACTTAAAGCCATCTGTAAATTCAATGCAAACCCTATCAAAATCCCAATGGCATTTTCCACAGAAATAGGAAAAAGCTCAAGCAACAAAAGCAGAAATTAGTAAGTGGAATTATGTCAAACTAAAAAACTCTGCACAGCAAAAGAAATACTAAACAAAATGAAATGGCAATCTAGAAAATGGGAGAAAATATTTGCAAATCATATACTTGGTAAGAGGTTAAAATCCAAAATATGTAGAGAATCCATATAGTTCAATAACAAACAAAATAAGCAATCCAATTACAAAACGGGCAGAGGAATTAAATAGACATTTTTCCAGAGAAGACATACAAGTGGCCAACAGGTATATGAACAGATACTCAACATCATTTTTAAAAATATGTATTTTATTGATTTTTTACAGAGAGGAAGGGAGAGGGATAGAGAGTTAGAAACATCGATGAGAGAGAAACATCGATCAGCTGCCTCCTGCAAACTCTCTACTGGGGATGTGCCCACAACCAATGTACATGCCCTTGACCAGAATCGAACCTGGGACCCTTGAGTCCGCAGGCCGATGCTCTATCCACTGAGCCAAACCGGATAGGGCTCATTAATCATCAGAGAAATGCAAGCCAAAATCACAAGGAGATTTCACCTCATACATGTCAGAACTGCTATCATTGAAATGATAAGAGATGACAAGTGTTGGCGAGGGTGTGGAGAAAAGCCCACCTTTGTGCACTGCTGGTGGCAATGTAAAGTGGGTCCTCGATTAAAAAAGAAGAAGAAAGAGCAAGCTACCATATGACCCAGCAACCTCACTTCTGGGGCATATACTCATATATTCAAAGGACATGAAGTCAGGATCTCAAAACTATATCTACACTGCAATATTCATTATAGCATTATTCTTAATAGCCAAGATATGAAAAGAACCTAAGTGTCCATCAACAGATGAACGGCTAAAGAAGATGTGGTACGTATGCACAATGGAATGCTAATCACCCTTGAGAAAAAAGGAAATCCTGCCATTTATGACAATATGGACGGACCTACCAGGCATTGAGCTAAGTGAACTAAGTCAGACAGAGAAAGACAAATACTGTGTGATATCACATATATGTGGAATCTAAAAAAGCTGAACTTATAAAAAAGGAGAGTAGAATGGTGGTTACCAGGGGCATGGAGGTGGAGAAAACAGGAAGATTTGGGTCAAAGGATAAAAACCTTTTATTATAAAACTAGAGGCCTGATGCACGAAATTTGTGCAAGGGGCTCAGCCCTCGCAGCACCAGCTTCGTCCAGAAGGACGATCAGAAGGTCGTTCGGCTGTCCAGTCTAATTAGCACATTATGCCTTTATTATTATAGATGCATAAGTTTTGGGGATCTAATATATGGTACAACATGGTGATTATAGTTAACAATACTGTATTATGTACGAGAGTATCTTAAATATTCTCACCACAAAAAGAAATGATAATTATGTGAGGTGATGAAGTGGTGAGTGTCACTATGGAGGTGATCATTTCACAGTATATGTTATCAACACATGTTGTACACTTTAAACTACATAATGTTGCATGTCAAATATATCTCCAAAAAAAGCTGAAAATATAAAAAAAACTTCTCAGTGAACAAAATGAGTTTATTAAATGTATATTCCATGATTTTTACATAACTTTTAGCTCTGCACTTAGAGGGCATTTTTGTCATGGACTTTTATACCCTTTGTGTGGGAAATCACTTTCTGTATTACTTGGAAGAATATTTGTCTTAAAATATATTTTTGTTAGGTTTTAATCACCTTCTCTCCTATTCTGAAATCTAAGCTTAGAGGAAATCAACAATTTTAATGTAGGCCGTGAAGAGATGTAATTCCCTTAAGAACCCATGCATACCATGTGAGCCTGTTTCTGCGGCTTCTCCTTTTTCACATTGGTCATTCACTAAGCATAAAGAGCCATCTAATGTTTAAGCGCCAGCTCTCTAATAAATATGAAACTGGCAGGTTCCTCCCTCCTCTCCACGGTATGCCTCACTGGCTACACACAAAGCAATTACAGCTCACCAGTCAGCTCTTTTTCATGTGATAACATCAGCAATTTTGCTCAAGGCTTCTTTTTTGATGAACAATAGCAGAAATAATGGCCTAATTCACTTTAAAGAACTATTTGCTTTCTCCAAAAACAATTCAATATTAACCAAAGTTCTTCCTAATTAAACCAAGGTCATCCAATTATGCATTTTAATACTACGAGGCTTTTTAACAATATCAAAGTGAAAGAGATTTATTAGAAAAATCTTTAAAACAGGAATTAATGTGAGCTCAGAGGAAGACAAATCCTGATCTGTTTGAATTTGCCATGTTTTAAATATACCTCCAAGTCCTTTATGGATCCCAGGAGAGTCTATTTTGTCTTTCAGTGCTGGTCCTAACACAATTTGACATATCCTCAAGCCTTTTAATGTAATTTGAAGGAAGATACTTGAAATATCCTGTTACTTCAGAGAACAAAGCAACCATGTTGATTTCAACACCAAGAACAATGGAATGAGATGAATTCTTATCTCATTCCTTGTAGTGCATTTCGGAACTAATCTGGGGTTCAGTTTATTTTTTCATCACCCCCTGTAAAATTGCAAATAACTATATCTATCTACATTTGAGGAGAGAGGAGGAAAAACATCTTAACATTTTATCATATTTAAGATAAAATAGTAGCAATAGTTATGCAGTAGAAAACTGCTTTCCTCCTGGGGCTGGGGAGAAGGTGATAAACTCTTTATAAACATAATTCCACTAGAGGGCAGTGCATCCCAGTGGAGGGTCATGGCACAATGTCCCAGGATGTTAAATTAAGACTAGCAAACGTGGAAAATGTATGTGATATAATGCTAAGTGAGAAAAAATTAGAATTCAAATACTCTGTAAAAATTATGTATGCTTGTGGACAAGAATCATATAATAGTTGCCGAAACCGGTTTGGCTCAGTGGATAGAGTGTCAGCCTGCCGACTGAAAGGTCCCAGGTTTGATTCCGGTCAAGGGCATGTACCTTGGTTGCGGGCACATCCCCAGTACGGGGTGTGCAAGAGGCAGCTGATCGATGTCTCTCTCTCTCATTGATGCTTCTAACTCTCTATCTCTCTCCCTTCCTCTCTGTAAAAAATCAATAAAATATATTTTTTTTAAAAAAAGAATCATATAATAGTTAAGAACAGTAATAATGATAATGGAAAAACAAATACTGAAAAGAAGTATAGGAAAGCTAAAATAATGTTAGTTATTGAACTGAGTAGTTTATAGGTTATTTGTTCATTTTATCTTATTGAAAATTACATTGGAGTGTTTGAGGTGGAACATAGTTTTAATTGAATTTAAATGAAATTATTCTCTGATAAATATTCTATTTTTTTCTAATATCCTATCTTCAGCACTTAAAATTCAGAGGGAATTTTTTTCATGTTGTTACAAAAATGTTATTTTTCTCATTTTTTAAAAAATTTCTTTATTGGTTAAGGTATTACAAATGTGTCCGCATCCCTGCATTAACCCCCAACCTCCCCCCCCCCCCCGCCCCACTCATGTTCTCATCCCCCTGTTGTCCGTGTCCATTGGTTTGGCTTATATGCATGCATACTAGTCCTTTAGTTGATCTCTTCCCCTTACCCCCATCCTCCCCTACTTTCCCTCTGGGGATTGATAGTCTGATCGCTGTTTCTCTGTCTTTGGATCTGTCCCTGTTCATCAGTCTATGTTATTTTTCTCATTTTAATGTTTAAAATATTATCACATTTTTGCTATTTATTTTCATTTTCTAACTGAATATTCTGTCAACACACCAAAGAAAAATGGAATATATAGATAATTTGTCTTTTAATGCTTTTAAATATTATTCTGTATGAGCTATGTAGCCTCAGGGAGGGCACAGTATATTTCTCTTAGAACTCTCAGTGTAAAAAGAATTTTATCTGATGAAAAATAGAAATATTTACTAGATTGTCATATATGCCAATTACTCATTACAAAATGATTTTTTTACATCTGAGTTCCAGTAATCTTTTAGAAGTTCCATTACAGAGGCAAATATGGCAGAGTAACAAGGCTAAAATAGTCTATCACTGACAATGAAAGTTCATATAGAAATAAAAATTTAATGCTCCTGAAATTATAGTGTGAGTCAAACTGGAAATATTTAATTTATGAAACTTTGATATATTTATTGTTCACTCTGTTCTTGGTCTTTTAAAAGTAGCTGACTCACCACCATCCATTATATAAAAAACATCAAATAAAAGCCAGTCCCAGGCAATAGGTGCCATCGCAGGCATTTGCCTAGAGTCCCGTGGTCGGCAAACTACAGCTCGTGAGCCACATGCGGCTCTTTGGCCCCTTCAGTGTGGCTCTTCCTAAGCCTTAGGAGTACCCTAATTAAGTTAATAACAATGTACCTACCTATATAGTTTAACTTTAAAAAATTTGGCTCTCAAAAGAAATTTCAGTCGTTGTACTGTTGATATTTGGCTCTGTTGACTAATGAGTTTGCTGACCACTGGAGACTATTATCATTCCTACATCATAGCCATTACCAATGTTACTAAGATGACCACCATTACCAACATCACCACCATCACAATATCTTCACCATCAGCGTTACTTCTTTTTTATATATAAATATATTTTTATGATTTCAAAGGGGAAGAGAGAGGGAGAGAGAGATAGAAACATCAATGGTGAGAGAGAGAATCATTGATTGGCTGCCTCCTGCATGCCTCCTACTGGGGATCGAGCCTGAAAGCCAGGCATGTGCCCTTGGCTGGAATCAAACCTGGGACCCTTCAGTTCACAGGCCAACACTCTATCCACTGAGCCAAACCAGTCAGAGCCACCATTACTTCTTTTACCTTGACTAACTCATTGTACTCTGTTTTCATCTCCGATTTATTTGATCCTTAAGCTGGCCAGTTTAATAAAGAAGGAAATTGATTAAGGATTTCCTGTACCTTGTATTCTAATCTCAGGTTATTATATTCTTATGAAACTAAGAGTGGCAGGTAACCACTTCCATATCTAAACCAGGATAGACTCTTGAAATAGGCTCATGATGACCACTAGGAAATATCATCAGACCAGGAAGCCAAGGAGCTATCCTTCTGCCTACTTGCCCATCACAACTGTGCTGTGGTGGATCCCAAGGCAAGTGCTCATCACGGTGTATTCCAGAAAACAAAGGCCTCTGCAAGTATAAAGGATAAGAAACTTGATGTACTATATAAAATAAGACAACAGCGCCAGTTTGGTTCAATGGATAGATTGTCGGCCTGTGGACCGAAGGGTCCTGGGTTCGATTTTGGTCAAGGGCACATACCTCAGTTGCAGGCTCCATCCCCAGCTCTGGTTGGGGATGTGTGTGGGAGGCAACCAATAGATGTGTCTCCCTCACATCAATGTTTCTCTCTCTGTCCCTCCCGCTCTCTTCCACTCTCTTTCTAAACATCAATGGAAAAATATCCTTGGGTGAGGATTAACGGAAAAAGAAAATGTGACAGCAGCTTCAACTTAATTATCCTTTGATCCTTGCCCTTCTGGCGATCCTGACCTACATCCAAGAATCTTTTTTTTTTTTAATATATTTTATTGATTTTTTACAGAGAGGAAGGGAGAGAGATAGAGAGTTAGAAACATCGATGAGAGAGAAACATCGATCAGCTGCCTCCTGCACATCTCCTACTGGGGATGTGCCCGCAACCCAGGTACATGCCCTTGACCAGAATCGAACCCGGGACCCTTCAGTCCGCAAGCCGACGCTCTATCCACTGAGCCAAACCGGTTTCGGCCATCCAAGAATCTTGACCAGTTTAGCAAGGATAATAATTTTCTTAATTAAAGGATTTTGCTCAATATTCTGTATCCAAAAGTTATTGCATAATAAGAACCACCTGAAGAAGACTAATTTTTTTTTCTTTGAAACAAGTTCTAGAGGCTTGGAATGTAATTTAAAAACTTCTCCAGGTGAGTCTGATGGTTTTCTATGCCTGAGCATCACAGGGCATACATGACAATTTCATCTCTTCACCAATTCTGGCATCACAGAATTCCCTGATCTGAGTTTCTTTAATGACAATAGAACCACTATGGGCCAGACCAGGAAATAAATCTTTGAAAGCCTAAGATGGAATCCCTGTTTTCTCCTTGCCCAGCTGTGACCCCACCAGGCAGAAAGCTCAATCTAAAATGGATGATAATGGGAAGCCACCAGGTCCTGGAAAATTGTTGGTGCAAGAAATCTTTGGCCATACAACCCCAGTTTTTATCGGACCAAGAAGATGCAGTAGCTCCTATCAGAGCTATGCAAATGAGACCCAGGGGCCAAGGTCTTCAAAGGCCTCTAATCTAGTAGGATGACCGGCTGTTTCATAGCTTGAGAGACTGTCACCCAGGAACTACCCTAGATGACTCCATCCATTTAGAACCTTAACATGATCACCAAAGGCTTTGGGAGTTAGGGATAGGCTAAGGTGATATAATGATCTGATATATCACTTCCCTGTTCTAAATATAAATGGGGACATTCTGACCATGGACTTCATTTCAGACTGCCTCCCTGTGCCTATTCTCCAAAAACATGAATATGCTCCCTCTCCAGCACTACCCTCCTCCATCATTTGTATTGGCTACTGCCTCTTTGATCATCAAAGAAATTATCCCTTTCCATGGAAGAGTCAACCACACAATTTCTGACTCTAGTAACCTCTTTCTGTTTTTATCTCATTGGGCATTAAAAGATCTCAAAAATTCCACCTGTATCTTCCCACTTCCCACCCTTTATAAACCATTACCTAATAGTGCACAAAATTTGGGTTCAGATTTCTCCATTTCTAGAGCTGCTGAGACAACACTCCTAGAGCTAAAGGTTGATCTAGTTACCATGACATTTTGATATAATTTACAGCAACCTTTACCCAGAATGTTACCTTCCACAACAAAATAGGAGCCAGTTTGTACCAGGTTAAGCCACCTACAGTTCAAGAAGACGGAGTGCTAAAGAACCTGTCAGCAGACATAGAGAAACTCAAAGTGGTAGCTGCCCTGTGACTCCCCTCCCATTGCTAATACCCCCGCCTATGCCAAAGACCAGAGGACCTCCGCTAGGAACACTTCTGGATAACAGAAAAGGTTTGCCCCAGCACCCCTCTTCCATGTGCCTCCACCAAAATCTCACTATTCTCTACTGGCCAATGAGCTCCTATTCTCTGTTTCATACTCCAGGGGCAAGCCCCAGTGAACCGAGATTGAGAAGATGTAGTGGGCTCGCAGTGACCTCAAAGCTTGAACCAGTGCTTGGTTCACTAGGAAGGGAGTGGCTGAGAGAACAATCATGGAATTCTGCCCTTCATCTTGGAAACAGAATACAACAGATCATAAAAAGTGAAATGATCAGTGGGAACCAAAGGAAACACATCCCAGGCTGTCCCTTTAAATGGGTCTGACTTACCAGTACATTGTCCCACAGAGGACAAAGGAAAGCATAGCGCTTACGAAAGCATATCTCAAGATTTTCCCGTTGTGTCCTCTTACACATCTGCTCATAACATTTACTTACATCCTCCTCTTTTGTTTTGTGTTTTCATTCAATTACACCAAGTCCCACACCACATCCTTCCATTGCCCCCCACTCCCACACACACCACTTGCCTTTATCTGTTAGGTCAGAGGGATTTAAACAAGTTGGGCTGGCCTCGCTCTTCCCTCCTAAGCTTTCCCACTGCGGGTAGGAAATTGAAACTATAGAACTTTAAGACGATGCTTAGTATCTGAGCAAGGTTCTTCCTGTGCAGTTTAATACCTTAGATTCGGGGTAGCTTTGTACTAGGTCTGATTATGGATTTCAGGATAGACCTAAACCACAAAGAAGCTACTTTTCTCATTTCCAGGAAGGCTAAGTTCACTTACGGCAGCAATTAACATCCATCTGTGTTCTTCTATTACTGTGTCTCAGTGTGTGGGTAAGAACTTGGCAGAGTGACAGAGGATATCTTTGTCTTGGGGCAAAAATAATTTAGTAAGGCGATGTGAAGGGAGACAGACAGGTGTTCTTTGAATTAATGATAAGAAAGCTGTCTGGGAGGTTATTAGTAGTATTTTAAATGTGCTGATTCAGGTAATGTCTGATTTTTCAGAGGATGACCTTTGAATTCAGCCTTAATTCCTGAAGCAGAAGGTAACCTTACACGAAGCTTTCAAAAACTTCTGAGCTTCATGCCTGGGTTTAATTATCTCTCCCCAGTTGTGAACTTTGGCAAAATTACAGAAGTGCTACTGTCCTGCCAGTAAGCTGGCCATTCCTGTAGAGACTGATAAATCATTCTTGATCTCGCCAGAATTCTCATCACACTTTAGTCATTGATCCATGGAAAGTAAATTAATAGCACAAGTAGGAAGGCAAGGCATATGATATGAGTTATTTGCCAAGTGGGCCACTGACCTGGCATGCATTTGGTGATAGATATTAATACTGGACATGCTTTCAGCATTTAAATTTGGCACATTAATCCAATAGCAGGGACATCAAGCAACTCTCTCCTTTGGGTCACCCCCCCCCACACACACACACACACACACATCGCACATTGAATCATTACAGTTGAGTCACCTTCCCCTTGGTATCCCTCATTAAGCCCTTACATAGAATGATGTGATTTTATATCTAGCCCACTAAACACAGTTTCCATAGGACACATTTAACATAATACAGATAAGTTATGTATTTCACTGCCTGAATATGGCTCAAAGGAAATGAGACACTTTTTAAGCAGGATTTAAAAAAAAAATAGGACATATTAGCAAAAATTATGCTAAGGATGCAAGTACCCACATGAATTAGAATAAAAAGGAAAAATAACCAGAAAACCAGACTTAGGAGATGGCAAATTAGGTGGCATCTGTTCGACTTGGCAGGATTCCTTGAAATAACTTCACACTATCCCACAGCCAAAGAGGCTTGTTGATGAAATGAGCCTGAATCTCCAGCTAGATCTGAGAACAAACCTCCTCTTGTTTTTCTAGGCTGGCCCTCCAACTCCACTGATTATTTCCAGTTAGCCCTTGGCCCTGCCTTGAACTTGACCATGCTTTTGCATTCCTGGTCATGACTTTGGATCCTACCAATGATTACCCAGCTTCTCTGGCCTGGCGATGAATCCCCAGACTACCTACAAGCACCCTCCTAGCTTGACTATGTTCCTAAGCCTCTCCTCCCAATACATCCTTTACCATAGAGTTCTCCATCAGTTCCACCCAACAGCAACTACTTGTTGGAATTTAAAAGGCACTAGAGAGGTCTCCTTCCTCACTACTTACTTCTCTAGGGTAGCTTTCCCAACATGTTCATTAGAATTGGCAACTCCCCACTTTGTGCTCCCATTGTACCCTTGTAAAATGTGTTGAATTAATTTGTTTACATGGCTATCTCCCCTGCTCAAGTTATTAATAGCAGATATTAAATATCTTCTAACTTTATTTTCCCATTGTCTTGTACAGGGCATTCATGGTACATCATAAGTCTTCAATCAATGCTTGATAAGTGAGTGAATGAGTGCTTTCATAATGTAGTCACCTTTTCTCCAACACAAGTTTGAAGTTCTATTAGCAGTTGAATTATTTCCACTTAAATCACCCTAGAATCACTCACATGTCTATCACTCATGGAAAATATCACATCTACTTCAAGAAATGTCATATGAACTTTCAGTGTCCTCTACTCAAGATAAGAATATTGAATTTATAGAGTACATTTTCATTTATGTGATATTTTTTGAGATAATTAATTGCAATTGACATTGAGAATGTAACTGTGTCTTAGCCACTATTCTTAGTACTTATATATATTGCCTCTATAAATCATTACTACACCCTATGAGGTAGGAACTATTGTTATCTTGAAGAAACTAAATCTAGGATAGTTAAGAAACTTTTCCAAGTTGACAAAGTTAGTAAGTGACAAAACCAGGAATCGACCTATTACCTTGTGCCCTGCCAGCACAGCCAAGGGTTCAGTGAGCCTGAGGGGGGGGTGGCAAAGCATTAAAGAAAAGACAGACAAAGAGAATATAGCTGGGGCTTTGTGGATCTCCTGTGTCTGGATGAGGCCACAGTGAAGGATCCAGCCAGCAAGCTGAGGCTTTATTTTATAGTCAGAGAAAAACAAGGTAGTGGTCAACATAGTTACAATGTTCTTGTGAGTTTCACTTGTTTTGGCAGCACTTGCTGCATCCATCTCCCATAGCCCATTAGCTACCTAGGAAGGATCTAGGGGGCAGCCATAAGGTCAAGCTTAATTATACTAAGAGGGCTCTGCCCTCTAAGCTGGGACTTGTTTGTGGCTGTGCCACAGGTCAGTCTGAGGCTTAACTCTAGAGCCGCTCCCTACAATACCTGATTCCAGAGCCCTGCTCAACCACAACATAGCCCACCTCAGAATAATCTGTTAATCTACCCCAGTGGTTCTCAACCTTCTGGCCCTTTAAATACAGTTCCTCATGTTGTGACCCAACCATAAAATTATTTTCGTTGCTACTTCATAACTGTAATGTTGCTACTGTTATGAATCATAATGTAAATGTCTGATATGCAGGATGGTCTTAGGCGACCCCTGTGAAAGGGTCGTTCGACCGCCAAAGGGGTCACGACCCACAGGTTGAGAACTGCTGATCTACCCTCAACACCAGACAATGAAGATATACCTTCAAAGACTCTGAAGAGGGAAGTGGAAACCCCGAAAAGCAAAGTTATGAAGTATAAAGGCAAAGCCTAAAATCTATTCTTGATTCCCTTGCTGGTTCTTTAGTTGAACATTGTACCAGAGGTCTTCCCAATGCAATGGACAAAATAGAGGATGAGAGAACCTTATAATGCTTACACCCAAGTAGATTCCAGGATCTCTATTATCTTTCTTTTTAATGTTAACCTTGAGCTTATTTTCTTAGTTTTTCCTTTATTCTAGTTCATCTGCCTTATATTATTCTCTCAGATACCTGACACACACACACATTTACATAGATTTAAGGAAATGGTGTAAATTGGGGAGGAGGATAGTGAATACTGCCAGTGTGTAAGTACCTCTTATCCCTGCCTATCCCTATTCCAGCCATCACCCCGTGACAATTTGAAGAGCACTGCCCTTACAACTCCCAGAAGAAAATAAAAGAATGGCCAATAAACATATGAAAAAATATTCAACGTAGTAATCAGGCAAGTTAAAACATCAACGAGGTACCATTCCATAGCAGTCAGATTGGCAAAAAGTTTAAAGTCTAATAACACTGAACATGGGGAAATGGGAACTGTCAACCCCTGCTGGTGGGCATGTAAACTAATACAACTACACCAGAGAGTAATTTCACAATATTTAATGAAGGTGAAGTCTGATGATACTCTGTGCCAGAGAAATGTTGCTTCCAAATGTATCTTTAGAGAAACTCTCCCACATGCATCCTCAAGGATGTCATTTGAAGTATTATTTTTCATTAAAAAAATTAGAAGCATAAATGTATATTAATAAGAAAATGGGTAAATACATTTACATATGTTTAAATGATGGAATCCTATGTAGCAGTGAGAAAAGCAAGTTAGTGCATGACATGCCATACAGTATGATGACATTTATATAAACTTTGAAAACACACAATTCTAAATATTTTTAGAGATATGTACCTATAGAACATAAGCATAAATGTATGCACAGGAAGGATACACATCAATATAGGCATTATGGTTGCCTCTACAATAACAGAGATAAATAGGACTCGTGTTGTGAACAAAAGGACCACATGTTTAATATTTTCTTTCTTTTAAAAACTAGTTTGAAGCAAATATGAGAAAATAAAATGTGTGATTTCTAGATAGTCACTATTCAGAGGTTTCTGATGTTACTCTTTTGCTTTTCTATATGTTTAAAATAGTTCAGTAGAAAAACAAACACTCTAGTTTCAAGAGTTATTCAGAGCCCAGTAAGAGAGGCTGCAATTAAGGACAAAGAGGTTTGAGGACATAAACGGACGCAGACAGCTCCGATGCTCCGGAGACTGTGAATTACTGTCAAAGCCCGGCTATGCATCAGCTAAACGGAGGGCGGTTCCTCTTCAAGGCCAGCCATGGTTATTTCCCAGCAAGAAGGATAGTTTGGACCTGTCAGACTACCTTTTATTTCTCTGAGGTCAGGTAGAGTTTCTGTGATTCACATTCTAATATCGCTTTTCTTTGGTAAATCTTGCCACCCACACAGGCATGAGAGGAAAAATATTAAAGCAAAATTCAATTTCCACGGACTACAAAACAAAATTCCGTAAGTGAGCCAAGCCAAATCCTTCGGGTGCAGAATTCTTATTTCCTTTGTGGTCTTTTTACATCTTGCTGCTAAAAAGACTTTAAAGTTTTATTTTTTGAGGACTTGGGAGCCAAGTTGAAGAGCTGTTCTGAAGATGGGACAATTTTAGTATGAATAAGGATAATATATATCTATAGGAGGTCTAAACACATCAAATAATGTTTAAATCCATGAGTTCAGTTTCTCTCTCTCTCTCTCTCTCTCTCTCTCTCTCTCTCTCTCTCTCTCTCTCACACACACACACACACACACACACACCTAGTTGGTCACCTTGAAGATGCTATTCATTTTTTAAAATTGATAAATAAAAGGAAAGAACTATTTATTCAGCCTTCCCTATATGAACTATATCACTATATAATCAAATAATAGATGAGGCATAGTTTCTCTTTATAAATTATTTCCAACAAATAAATGAAAAAGGAAAGTGAGACTACAACCATTGCCATTTTACAACCCCTAAAAAATTAAATCATCTGAATATTAAGCATTCATAGCTGCTCAGGGCACAAAAAGAGGGACAAGCAGACATTACTTGCCTCCTGGTGAAATACCACCACCTATGAAATAATCTTGCTAAAAAAATAAAATCTAATTCTGATGAAGCTCAAATTCCACATACCAATTTACAAGAATACAAGGGAAATGTTAAAAGGGAAATGTAATCAGCAAAAACCCAGGCCGTAGGCCACTACCAGAGAAATCATGTTTCTACAACAAGTAATCACAAAGAAAAAAAGAGAGAGATGAAAAGGAGCTGTCAATTAAGAGACTCTGAGGCAAACCTTTAAAAAACAGGAAAAAGTAAATTATAGATTTTAGTTTAGATTTAGCACATTGTATGGAAAATAAGGAAGCAAAATTTTTTTTATTTTCTCTTCTTTATTTTTTATTTTTATTTTATTTTTTTAATTTTTAATTTTTTTATTGGTTAAGGTATTATTCCAAGTGTGTCCTCATCCCCCCTAATTAACCCCTAACCTCCCCCCCCCCCCCCTCGTGCTTTCAACCCCCTGTTGTCCATGTCCATTGGTTTGGCTTATAAGGAAGCAAACATTATAAAGTCAAGATAATGTTTACTCTTGAGTGAAGGATGAGTTCAGATTGGGACAGGACACACATAGGAAAATCTGTCTTCTGACATGAAGGGTATTGCCCTTACACAGTCATTCATTGAGAGTTATAGGACACTGGTTGATAACAAAATGATGAGGAGAAAAATAATAATATATTAATTTGCCTCAAGTGGAACTTCAATAGATCTGTAATTGCATGATTCCTATCAAAAGCTTTGAGAGCACATCAAGTAATTATGAAAACAGTGTTAAAAGAAGGGAATACAATGGCAATTATATTCCACTTGGCTGGAATGTAATTTAATTTGCTACATGTAAATACCATGCGTACCTGCCATGTGCTATTTATCAAGAGAAGCCTGAAACCTTGTCTCTTATCATGTTACTAAGAGGCAAAACATAAAAAGATAAACATAAGCCCCTTAACATCTTAATCTGCAAAAATGCAGGAATTCAGGTCAGAAAAAGAACTTGAACTCTTTTTTTATGCCATAGAACAAAATTAAAATTCATTTCCACCTTTTAGCATACACTTTGCCGCAAAGTCAGACACAATGTAATATGTCATATCCTAATTTCTTACAGAGTTAATAAATCACACCTATTACAGAGTGAAAAGCAAACAACATGAATTCATTGTTAATTAGGGAACAGTCATATATCGTCTTCATTTGTTACTGACATTAAGGAGTGTATTTAAAAGAAACTTTATAATACAGGAATTATATAATTTTGCTTCAATACATTCAATTATAATACATCATAAAATTATTAAAAAGTAAATCCAAAAAAAGCATTTGTAAGATTATATATTTTTGTGAAAAGGATTCCAGAATTTCTCTTTTAAAGACAGAAAGAGGAGGAGCCTGGCAAATGCAGGTCTAGAGGAGAATAACTCCCCTTCTTAGTTTATGTGGAGGATCTTTCATAATCTGACCCCACCTATCCTCCTGCTTCTTCCTACTCCAGCTAATTTATCCCCACAATCTTTGGGGGCACAAAAACCTCTATGGCCCTAAGTGTCATAATATTTTCCAAACCCACCCAATCTTCCCACAACTCTATCCTGTGCCTATTCTCTCCTGCCATTTTTCTCTAATTACAATGACAAACTCCTATTTATATATCAGGTCCAGTGCAAATGTCCAACAGAGTTAATCGATCTGTGGTCTCTCAACCTGAATCTTGATGTCTGTAACTGCAAGTACTGTACCATATTATAACATCATTTTGAACATCCAGGGTTGTCAGATAAAATACAGAGTGGCCAGTTGAATTTGAATTTCAGATTTATAAAAAAACCAAATAATTTTCAGTAGAAGCATATCCCACGCAATATTTGGGATATACTTATACTAAAAATTTTTATTTGTTGCTCATCTGAATTTCAATTTCAACTGGGCTCCTATATTTTCATTTGTTAAATCTGGCAACCCTGATCTCTCTCAACCATAAGATCATAAGCAAATTAATAGTAGGAATAGTATTCTTCTTTATGTCCTCATAATGCTGGGTATATTTCTATAGTTTTCATTAAATGTGCACTGAATGAATAAATGAATGAAGTGAGACTCTTGGGCGAGCACTTTGTGAAATCAACACTGCTATTTATTCAGCAAATACCTATTGAGCACATATACTGTTTCATGCACTATCCTAATAGCAGCAATAAAGCACTTTTAAATATGCACCAACAATCTAACATTGTAGCTTTTAAATAACGTTTCCAAGGCTTTCAAGTAATGGATGTTCAGGAGGTTGAATGGCTGTATCTGGTCCTTGATCTATACTGTTTAATTGTCCTGATTGACCACAAACCAAACAAAGACCCTGTTCTTGTGGCGTTTAGTGGAGATAGATAGATGACAAGACAGTAAACACATACATAAATCATTTCAGACAGTTATAAAAGTGCTATGAAAACAACCCTATAGGGTAAGGTGATGAAGAGTTAGTAAAGGCTTCTCTGAGGAGGCAACATTTGAGGTGAGTGCTCACTGATGAGAAGGAGCCAGTCTGTGACAATATGGGAAAGAACATCAGCGCAAAGGCACAGCAAGTCAACAATAGGAAGAGGAACAACTAGTGTGAGACATAGAAAAAGAGCCTCAAACTGCAAATCAAGAGTGCTCGAGCGAGAGAGAGAGAGAGAGAGAGAGAGAGAGAGAGAGAGAGAAGCACGCTCATTATCATTAGCATTCAGGTAAATACAAATTAGGACCCCAATAGCATATCACCACACTTGCACTAGAGAAACAAAAATCGAAAAGTCTGACAATAGCAAGTGCTGATGAGGACGTGGAAGCACTGAAAATCTCATGCACAGCTGGTGGGAATGTCAAACAGCACAACCACTTTGAAAATGGTTCAATAGTTTTCTTTAAAGTTAAAAATATATTTGTCATACAATTATGTGGGTGCATGTATGGCAAAGAGAAGTGAAAATGTATGTCCAAACAAAGACTGCACACCAATGTTCATATTAGCTTTATTTATTTTATTTTTAAAGATATTCTTTTTTTATATGTATTTTTACTGATTTCAGAGAGGAATGGAGAGGGAGAGAGAGATAGAAACATCAATGATGAGAGAGAATCATTGAATGGCTGCTTCCTGCACGGCCTTTACTGGGGATCTAGTTCACAACCTGGGCATATGCTTTGACCGGAATCAAACCTGGGACCTTTCAGTCCATAGACTGACTCTCTCTATCCACTAAGCCAAAAACAGCTAGGGCCATATTAGCTTTACTGATAGCAGCAAATCACTGCAAACAGCTCTACTGTCCAAGA